GCTTCTCTGTCGTCAGCTGTATCTGATGATAGATACTATCATTCTGAGCTTCACCATGTGGGATCCACCTCAAGAAGCGGCCCCTACAGAAGGAAGTCCCCGTAAAAGGCCACAGAAGAGATGATGCAAAGAGGTTAGTAGACACTGTTAAACTGAATCTGGATTGTGTTCGATTTAGTGATTGTGCTAGTTTAACATGCATGTAGCATAAATATTTCATATTTTCTGGATCTTCTTCCCCACTATCTCTTTATTTTTAATTTAATCGTACCTTTGTGGCTTCCCTTTGCTGCGGATTATAATTGCCCTATTCAGAAATGAATGAATATCCAGGATGAATATCCAGGTATGAATAGCCGGTGTGACAGGCGCTGTACAGTTGACGGCCACACCAGCCTGTGTGCATCTGATTTCCTGGCCGACACTGAACACATCTGCCTATTTGAACACCTGTGAGAGTTTTGTGAGTGTGGGGAGCTTCGGCTCAGTTTGTGTTTTTCCTCCATTAGTTTTCTTTTTTTTGTGGTATATTAAACGTATCCTTTGTTTGTATTTTGGTGGAATATATCCTTCCCCATCAACCGTGTCTGTGGGGGGGCACTTTTTGTTCTAATTTTCTTAGAAAAGGACAAAGAAAAAATAGACCAAAGGATTTGGTCGGAAACAATCCGGGTTGACGGTGAGAGAAATCAAATATGAAACAGATCTGACGATGGTGTGAAAACGGAGCGGTTTTCCCCTTCGGTTCCCGAGTTGCAGCCGCCGTCTATCGCACACACCGTCACGTCCACGCATCCCCCTCACTACATTTCCCAGCATGCAACACAGACCGCCCGTCGTAGCGGCAGCAGTTCCAAACAATTTACCCGGTATTTTACGCTAGTTCAGAAATGACCACCACCTTTCATTCAACACACTTTATTTACCAACCAGCTTCGTCATACATTCCTTAGTCCACAATAAAACTTCCCAGTCAAACACACACCTTCTGGCCCTTGGTCCGTCAGCACACTGGTCCGTGCGGGAACGCGTACCGCATCGGAGCCAGCTTTTTATTCATCGTCCCAGGACATTGGAAAGGACTATGGTGGGACAGGGGGGTTAATATTTGGAATAACTGTTTGCATGTTAATTAGTAGGTGAATTGGGACTGTTATCATTGTTCAGCTATTTAATAATGATGGGTGTTTTTGTGAGCGATGCTACAGGCTGTATGTATTTATTAGAATGTAAATTGCACTTTATTGTGATTTGCCTTCCTCTTGAGTTTCCCAATTGGCTGGTTATTGGTGCGCCTATTTAAGGGTCACACTCACAATACCAGGGAGGCTGCTGGGAGAGTGCTTAGACGGCTTTGAGAGACTGGTTGGAAGTCTGCTTTGTAGTCTGTACTTGATGTCAGCTTGCTGTGAGGCTGTAAGTTCTTTGTATTGCCTGCAATGATTGGTTCAGTTTTCTTTGTTTGAAAGTGGTTTTGTTTTTTTTGTCTTCGCCATTGCACCTGTAAATAAACCGCCACAAGCTTTTGCACTGGAATTTGTCATCTGCTGGCTCTTACCACCTTTTTGCAAGTCCTCTGCTTACTCCTCCTCTGACGTGAGACGGGGGCTGGCAAGCCGCTTTCTCACACATGGTAATAGAAGTAGAGGGTGAAGAAAACATTTCAACGGTTCAACTGTTTAAGAGCATTAGACTTCTGTGTGGAGGAATAGTTGGATTTAGGCCATTAGGTCCAAAGGCCTTTGAAAAAAAACGTTGACTAATGAAAGAGCAAAAGAAACACTCATGGATGGATTTAAAATTCGAAATAAAACAATTACAGGAAAGAAACTGGTTAATGATTTGGTGTTGTCATTAATAAACCTTCCTGTTTACATTACAGATGGAGGAATACTGGGGAAAAGGCTGGGGAGTGGAAGCCGTGTCGAGAATAAAAAGGAGAATGTGGACGGAAACATGGAACAAGAGTCCTGAAAGTAAGGTTTACAGAAGCTGTGTAGTCTCTGCCAAATGTAACAGCAAACAGAACTCAGTTCTTTAGAGTGACACACGACAGACAGGTGGAAGTGTGCAGAATATGTCTGCAGCCGGGACATCTGGTCAGAGAGGGCCCAGACTTTAACGGTCACCAGTGATGAGGACATGGACATTATGCAGGGAATGCTCTGAGGGAGGAAGAAGATGTGCAGTCTGACTCCATCTGATCAATAAATGTGTGTGTGTGGCTGAGAGTGAAGAGAGCGAGCCACACTCCAGTATGGAGGAGTCTAAGAATGAGCTGGGAGAGGAGGAGCCCAAAGCTCCAGAACCAGAGGAAAGCAGCCTGGAGGCTGATGAAGCTCACAATGAGCTGGAACGGGTTTCAGAAGTAGGGAGGGCTCCAAAAACGGGTCCAACCCTCGATATGACGGGGAGTGGTCAGAAAATGGGCACTACCCCGGAGGTTAAAGACCACGCTGTGGAGCTGGCACAGAGAGGGGCTCCGGCTCAGATGAAGGGGAGCACTGCAGAAAGCAGAGGGATGATGAAGCCCAAAGAGACAGAGATTTTACCCCAGAAATGACCAACAACAAAGTTGAGAAAGTGAGAACAGATGAGCCTGAAAGGGAGCCCCTCTCAGCAAAGAATGCATCCTACTCACCCCAAAATGTGTCTGAACCCTCCCAGCTCTGACTCTGAAATGGAGGACCAGCTCATACAGAGGAGACAAAGAGGAGCCAGGAACAATTAGCCAAAAGAAAGACGATGAGTGAAGGGCAGACTGCACATCTTCACCCAAAGCTGAATCTTATCTGCTTTATGTAGCCAGTTTAAGGAACAATAATAAATTAGTTTTTTTTATGAATATAAATAATATGCCTGCAAGTGACCAAATGAGATGAGAATTCAATAAAAATAAAAATAAAAACTGGAAAATAATATAAGGTAAATAATATTGTAGTAATGGGATAAACAATACCAGTGGGGTGGGAATACTATGAAAGATGATTTAATAAATAATATTATAGAAATATATGATATTGGTAGATTAGATATATGAATTATAACCATAAAGATATCAGAATAATAAACTGCTACGCACCCAATGCAAATGAGAAAAAAAATATTTTGAGAAATGAACTAAATGTAGAAATAATAATACTCTTAAATGTGGTACTCTCACACCAGGTTGTGTCAACTGCAAATATATTTAGGATTGATTCTAGTAGGACAGCTTTAATTGATATGAGTAAAAATATTTGGAGAATATACTTAAAGAGATTAAAACAAAGCCGAGTAGATTTATGTTCAGTTAATGAGGTCTCTGAGTTTAGTTTGGTGGCCAGTGATTCCTACAGGGAGGACCTGTATAAAGACGCTAAAGTCCGGGGTTCAGCTGGGCTCCTCTTCCTCCACTTCCTCCTCTTCTCTGCCGGGCCCCCTCTTCACCAGATTCGTCAGAGGAGGAGCTGCTAGATTGAAAAGGTTTCGAGTTTACACACTGACCAACAGGTGGGTGAGCACTGAGAGGCATTCATACCCGTTTCAAATGATAACAAAGCATGTCAGGGAGCTGAGCAGGTCTGGTTTCCACTCCAATATCACAATATCAGATGAAACTCTTATAGGACTACTACATTTTACCTTGAGTTTATTTAAACTCTGTTTACTCCGTTCCTTAATTCAGTTCTAAATGCTTTGCATTTAAATCCATTATTATTAAAATCTACAACATGTGCTCATGAGTTTCCAAAATAAACTTAACTGTCTCCATTGTGTGCCTCGTGGCGCTCAAAATGGCAGCCGCTCGGGAAAATGTACTTCCAAAAGTCACTTTAAAACAACGTCAAATACAGTAACTGTAACAACTGTGCTGTGGGATGTGTACAATGTTTGATTGGGAACATGAATGGTCTGTGAATCCAAATCTTCTCCATTATCAGACACAGGTGATGAATCTCTGTTCTTAATTACAGCATCAATACCATCGTTTAAGACCAACCGTCCCGCTGTCCTCTGACTTTAGTAAATGCTTACTATACATGAAAGAACTGATGAAGTCGAAGCTACCTTCCTGTTCTCCCTCATCGAGCTCAGGCTGGTCCTGTCCTGCAGCTGGACACACATCTTTGGCGACCTCGAAGAGTTTCTTGGCTGACAAGGTAAGCAGGCTTTTCCTGATGTCCCACACCAGGTTCTTTCTCCCACCCTCGGCCAAGGCAAATCCTCCTCTCCTCGTCCCTCTTGATGGAATTTCTCAGCTCAAAGACAGCAGCTCCCTCTCCATCTCAGCTCTACACCAGCATCAGCTCCAGAATTGGTTCCAGCTGTTATCAATGGATCAGCTCCAAACCAGCAGGTGGCGCTGATCTGGGACGAGCCCCCAAAATTTGTTACGGGTCTCAAAGTATGATGACCACATTAACAAATATGTTACCGGTTTTAAGCAGGTGAAAGAGGGAAGTGAAGACAGGATGCCAATCGTTTTTCTTCCAGATCACATTTCTTTTATTGAACATTATTTTGTCACAAACATTGCTAGATTTTAACTTGAGTTTGTTTAAACTCTGTTAACTTAGTTCCTTAATTCAGTTCTAAAAGTCTTTTAAACCATCTTCAGTTCCACATCTCACAGCAAATCCAACATGCTCAAATCAACACTGTCAGATTTGATTTTAACACTCTTGAAGTGTCTATATGGGTCCACACCAGAGAGAGTTAATTTGACTCTTTTTGGAGTGTTGGCACCGTAACTCATATTTAGTGTTAAATAATAAATCTTTCTGGAGTTGATCATTTAACACTTAATTACACCAACTAGGTGTTAGAATTGTAATATTAACACTCTCATGGAATGTTTTTTCTAACTACATAGGAGTTATTCTCTAATACTAAATGCTGAAGAATTTACTTTTCTGAACATATAAAAATCCCTTGGGAAAAATAAATAAAGAAGCAATGTTTTGTTTTTTTTCAGAAAATATTTATTTCAAAAGTGCACCACAATTAGAAAATATTTTTCAAAACATGTAACAATGTGGAACAATATATATGTTCTCACTTTCATTAGAATATTGCCTATCAAAAGGTCTGACATAGGTGAGCTTGTCAATGCAAATAACATGCTCATTATTTTTTTCTTCAATACGGTATGCATGAAAGTGTTCATCAAAGTACAAGGTGTTGGCAGCACAGCCTATTATGAATGCCTGCTGTTTATGTATTATAATATGGCAAATTTTATTAAACACAGGTAGATCATTGGACATTGCAGTACATATAAACAGTCCAACCTGGTATTCAGTGCCATAATTTCGTACCCAGTTTGTAGTTAAAATATTTGAGCATGAGTCCAGATTTAAGGTGTTAGACAGTAGATCTCCACCTTCCAGGCTATTGGCTGTTCTTGATTTTAAAGGACCATATTCAAATCTTTTGAAACAATAGTTTTCATAATAGAAGGCCAATTGACGCTGATGTCGCTTTACAAGAGATTTTGTAAGATTTTTAAAATTTTTGACAGACTTTTAAAAAAAAGATTAAATGTTTCAGGTAACATATCATGCCATCAGTAAGGACTGGGGACAACACAATATTAACAATCTGCAACAACAGGAGAACTAGGTTCCAGTGGTTATTGTCCCGCTCAACAACGTCACCAAAAATGAGTGGAATATGGCGGATGATGCATAATGACTGAATGGCATTTAAACCTAAGTGCTTGCTGTTATCCTCTATTTTTAACCCACTTGGTTTATTTTTTCGCTCGACAAAACCATAATTAAAACTCTGTATCCTGTCGAGTAGTGTACCAATGGAGATGTAGCCACTTTTGATAATGTACTGAAAGAACAATTTCAGCTCATACTGTACTACCCCTTCTAACAAATCATGCATAATATCTACTGCATAATTATCAGTGCTGTGAAAATATTCTAATGAATTGAGAACACAAGATCGCTTAACTCCATAAACAGAAAGGAGTGCAGGTTCTTCACTTAAAGCATTACAATGTTCAACATGAAGTTCTTTGGAGCGCAGAACAAGCCCAGGATTATCTTCGGTGAAAACCGACTGAATTTCTTCCTTGTTCGTCAAACAAAATCTACAGCAGTGTGTTTCACTAAATGATTCAACAAAACCTAATAAACCATTTAAAGCAAGGTTGTCTCCTGTTACTTGAATAACAGAACCAAACACAGGGTCTTCAGTAAATGGAAGCCTAATTCCTTCGGTTTCCAATATTTTTAAGTCATCAATCAGAGGCTTTAGTATTTCTTCAAACCCATATTTCTTTAAATCCTCTGTATGAAAAAGAGCAGCTAGATGAACATTCATAAGCACAGAATTAACCTTTGGTGGGAGGTTTTTTAAAGTGAAATAAATACAGCCTAGTTTGTGGATCCCTTTCTTGGAACCCAATGGGTTAGCTGTTTCAAAATCATCATAATACAACAAAATCTGTAAGGCGTGTTTCTTTTGTGAAAACAGAGGATGGTTTTGGAAATATGATCCATCATTAATGTCTTTGTATAAGCCAGTCTGGCTCTGTTTATCATGCAAAAAGGATTGTAAGATTTCCTTATTCTTGAAAATTGAATTTAAGGTCCCTAAAATGGGTATATACATGTATCTGTCGGTCACAGGTATTTGGCCATAAATGCCAGTAGTTCTATTTCTACGTGTATCCAATCTTACACCAAGTACAAACTCTTTAGGCTCAACTATTTCCCATTTTTCATCATAATATTTCTGTCTTTTTCTTTCAGTGTTAAATTTTGAAAAAGGGTTATCTAATTGGTTTAAACTGTGCTCAACTCTTTTGTAAACGTCTGACTCCATACTATGAGGGGGGATGTTTTAAGTGTTACCTCTCTTGCTTGACTCTGAACATCACTGACAACTTCCTCAACAGAACAAATGATTGTTTGAACAGCACTTTCAGAAAGACCGGAAGCTTGTAAGTGAGCAACAATAGATCCACACATTCCAACAATTGACTTCTGTGTAGTAACAGTGGGAGTCTGTGATATAGATACAGAAGAAGATGGCTGATCACTTAACAGTTCTTCTTGAGAATGAGTGTCTTTGACAACTGCCTGATGTGTCTCTACCTGTCTATCATAACTATGTACACTGTGAAGATGTTTTCTAAAGCCCTTGTAAGTACAGAACGACGAAAAACATCCCTGTTCTCCACATTTTAAACGTAGATTTTTAGCTGGATATAAACCATGATAAAATTTTAAATGTTGACAAAGAGCTGAACAACTTTTGTGGTGCATTTTACAAACAAGACATAAGAACATTGTCAAAATGTATTTTAAACTCCCCTATAAGCTTGTGGATCTTGGGGCATTTTAACGCTCTCTCAGCAGACGTGCTCTCAGTTCCTTGACTCTTGGGCTTTCTTTTGCACTCCCAACATCAATGTTGTAGATTGTGGTTTGAATAAATGTGTAGAAACTGCAAAGAGCCTCATCATATGACAGGCTGAAGACATAGTGTGCTTTGAATAGCCCATCAAAAGCAGCCACTGATGTTGGAGCATCACAGGGGATAGCCCTCTGATCCACAACAATGAAGAACCTCTGAATGTTCTTCTTTTGCTCACCAATGCAGAGAAGGAATGGTTGTCTGGTGTCCACTTTCTCCAGGAAAGTAGTAAGGCTGACTCCTTCCTGAAATTTAAATGGCATATATCAGTCAAAAGTAAAATGTTCTTTGAAACAGTTTGCTTGACATATGATGACTCTCATTATATTCCATCTATCCTCTTCTGCTTATCCTGGTTCAGGTCAAAATGTGAGGACTACCTTCCTTTTGAAAGCATAGACCTTAAAGATTTTGTCTCTCCCAATTATAAATACAGCATTATTCAATGTAAGATACACCAAAGGTGACTGTATTTATGTCATCATACATGTTTATATCTCATGGCATTTCATTTTTACAAACTAGTGTTGCATAAAGAAAAAACAAAAATCATTAGTTCCAATGTGTTAAGGGTGCATACCTTGACAAATCTTACGAGATGATTGGCTGCCTGTGCGGAGCTAATCTTTGCTGTTTTTTTGTGGCCTCTAGATGTGGGGGGCAGCAGATGCAGCAACAGCAGAAGAGCTGCAATGTCACTGTCCCAGCCTTAAAGACAAAAAAGCACATTGGAGACAAAATTCAGTTAAACAGATACACTTTTTAAAGCTTATTCAAAAACCAAATATGCATAAATCACTTGAGATATATTTGCTTGCAGTTTACAGTACAGCAAGAGAAAAAGTGTAATATTATTATTTTGTATACTAAAACACTGCCCAAAATTACCAAAGACAGATGGAAGTTCCGGGTCAACAGAAGCTTGTAACTCGTCGACACAGGGACTTGATGAGAGACTTTGGCTTTCTGTAATGACTTTTTGCTTGAAGTATGACGGCCACTTGGAGAGAAATCTTCCAGAAACTTCCTCCCCAAACATCATTGAGAAATCCTGATCAATCTTTTAAAAAGAAAAAACAGACACCAAATGCTGCTTACTAACATGTTATTTGCACAATTTATACATTAGTGCCTAAATGCATCATCCAGAAACACACTTACCAACATAGGTGTATCAAGAAATCTAGGGAAGACATCCAACACTGATGATGTTGCATCTGGGTCATGAACCAGCTTCTGTCGATATTCAAAGGTGGCTCTCATCTTCTCTTTAATTGTTACTTCTGTAAAGCCAATAATTTTGACAGACATACAACTCTGATCAATTCACAAGTTGGATTTTAGACGGTGCATGTGTGCATATTTACTTTTACTTAATCACATTATTTTTTTGGATGGCGACTCTTAACTTTAACATGTGTAAAATAATTGGATACATAACCCACCTCTGACTATATGGTGTGTGTATATATATATATATATGAAAGCATTTAGTTCTTTTTGAGGTATAAAGGGCTTTTTTGAGAACCTAAAACTTGTGCTCGAATTATACAACCGAAGAATACAGTCATTTTTACCATAATGAATTAAAAATGTCAACCTTTGCCAATTTCCACCTCAATACTTTGCTTTGTTTCAGAATTCTGAAGAGAACTAAATTTGAACTAAAACATATTTTCATGCACTGCAGAGGACCGCCGTTTGCTGCCTCGATTTTTATGGGAGACAGTCCATGTGTTCACGATAACATTTCCCTAATCATTCTTTTAGGTCTAT